AAAACAGACGTCCATTACGTGATTGCCTCTATAGCAATTGCTCTCTATGACTATTAGAAGAATATTAGGCTCGATTCAAAGCATGATTAACAGTTTGCTTACGCGATCGGTCCCATTTGTTTTCCCCATTTGGGTTCCCATCTGTTTTATATGTATATTTTCCAAAACGCAATCCAAAATTAAGGAGAGCTTTCGAGTTAGATAATTATAGTTTAATTATTTAAATTAAATAATTATTAAATGATAGTGATTAAATAATTGTAGTTTAATTCTTTAAATCTCAGTTAATTCTAATTAAATTATTTATGTTGATAATCCTAATGTTAGCAACGTCAATTTAATTTGGAAAATCTCAATCCCTATAACATCGCTTTTTCATCGAAAATTATATGCAAACATGCCGTAATCTGCGCTGACCTCAAATGCGAAGAAATTACAATGCAACATTTTGCACTATCTCTAAAGATCTCACTTCTTTCGCACTGCAATTCAATAGTGTAATTGTGTTGATCTTCAAGATAGATTTCATCATTGCATATTACGTCGTAAGCAGATATAATACTTGGGAAAAGTCAGTTTATCAGGAAGATTACGCTATTAGTGCGGAATTGGGCCGGTAGACTGGTTGGTCATATATATATAGCGTAGAATGTCCTTCCCGAAATCCCAATTTCATTGGGGGGGGGGGGGAGAAGGGGGGAGAGCTGTGATCCGTCGTGCGCAAAACGCCCATCGATATGCATGTAACAGGATGCGCATAATCGTATGAGACAGATTGACGGGGAAACACGAAAATGCACATCCGAATAAAGGAATTAAACGTTTAAAAATTTCTTAAATTACTCCGCAACAGCTCGAAAAAATATGAATAAACATTTGGTTACCTACATAAATGATAATTTCTTTTATCTCGAAGACAAATTATGGCCTCTTCTCTTTTATCGTATCTTTTATGATCGACAAAGTGCTCTATCAATCTTCTCATGGTAATCAAATTGAGAAACGAATTACGTTTAACCACCGTAGAAACTTTTTACTTACATATGTAATAACCGTATGTGTCTATTTGACCAACCTCGCGATTCCGCTCTCGCAAATAGTTCACTCAGCATAATTTGATCCGCGTTTTCCGTTGTCTCATTCATTGTGCACAGCTTGCGTGGGTCAGTCGAAAATTTAATTAGCCACGATTTGCGTCCGGGCGTGCGTTGATTTCGTTAAAGCACGAATATTTGATGGAATAATGTCGTTCATTATTGAGATAGCCGATAAATGTCAATTCTGTTCTTGAATTCGCCTTCTTAACGAATCTTCAATTAATCGAAAATGTCGCGTAATATTTTCGGGGGCCCGTTTCAATTTGAAATTATTCAGTGAACTAAATGATTTTACGAAATGCGACGTTTTTTGTAACCAATAATTTTTTTAATTTTATCAAATAGCTAACACATTACATGGAATATAAACTGAGAGTTTCGGACTTTATTTCCGAGAATATTTTCATCTTTATTACTTCATAAAACTCAATATTGATATCTCTAACCTCATTGAACTTTGAACGCAACATTGAATATTTTTATTTATAGCAATTATTTATGTCCGTTACGTAAGTAATCCGAAGATAAAACTGATTCTTCATATGTAATGTTCAATAAAATTACATTTACCGTAAACAAAGACATACTTTGTTTATTTCTTAATTAATCACATAAAAATAATTTTTGTTATTAGTTAAAAAGAGAAGAAATAAATGCTTGTTATCTGAGTTGGTAGAAAATTTATGTGCAAATTAATCCTCACACATAGTTAGTATATCTTTTAAAAAATTATTAATATCTCAATTGCACGTATTAAAAGCACAGTGGTAGTTTTATCAAACACAGCAAGCGATTAAATATATCATATCGTGCGTAACAATTTCTGTAAACGAAATATGTGTATGTAACACGATATGTAAAACCCCATTAATTTTATATTTGCCAATGCTTAATTATAATTAGCAATTATAATTGCTAATTATTAATGATTTTACGAAATGCGATGTTTTTTGTAATCAATAATTTTTTTAATTTTATCAAGTAGCTAACACATTACATGGAATATAAACTGAGAGTTTCGGACTTTATTTCCGAGAATATTTTCATCTTTATTACTTCATAAAACTCAATATTGATATCTCTAATCTTACTGAACTTTGAACGCAACATTGAACATTTTTATTTATAGCAATTATTTATGTCCGTTACGTAAGTAATCCGAAGATAAAACTGATTCTTCATGGCGTCTCATCATATCCAAATATATACATCGATATATCACGGTTTCCGAAAGGATTTATATCACGCACATAGGGGGAAATTTTCAGGCCAAACCCCCCCCCCCCTCCAAACTCCCCCGCCAAATATAACTTGATTCCAATACGCTTCTCAAATTAGCAAATCAAATTGCGCATTACGTTGTTGTAGTGTAAATACGCGGAGATCTTACTTTTTGAACGAGGCGATTTAATTTTCCGAAGCAATTTTCTAAAGATACTCACCGATGCAGACGACGAGCGCCACGGCGAGTATCGGCGGGAAAGCCCTCGAGGACGAAAGCATGCTGCAACCGAGATCTCTGCGAGAATGGGACGAGAATAGGCACCCGCGGGAGCGAAGAGTCACTCGGCCACTTTGGAGCGTCCACGCGGGATCCGGAAGTTGAACTGACAGTGCCAACCGGAAGGGGCGGGATCAAAACTAGAGATGGTGACCCGCGTGAAAAAATGGAAAAAACGAAAGGAAAAAGGCACTACGTGCACCGTGACTCGTTCGATGATCCGCTCGTCGATCACTGGTAATCTCGCAAATACGTGGCCCACACCCTCGATTAACACCGAGGATCAATCTCGATCCCCCACTGGGTTACGGATCTAGGACGCGATTTTTCTTCTCTCCACGTCCAAGGGGTGTTTCTTTAATATTTTTCGCGAGTTTCGCCGATCGGCGCGGGTACTTCCGCGCTTATTTCTTTCTTTTATTTTTTTTTTTTCGTCCCCCTCGCATATACCACCGCGCGATTAATCGGGCAAAGAGCGCTCACGGGTGGTACCCCGGCTCGGTGGGCGAGGCAAGCGGGGGCAAAGAGGGTGACTTTTACAGAGAGGCGCGTTCTCTACCACGTCTGTTACGGCGCCAACGTCGGACTGACTTTCTCTACGTTACGGCCGCTCTGCAGCAGTGGCGGCGCGCCGTTCCGCGTCGGACCGCGTCGTCGCGCGGATACATCCCGCGTCACGTGTGCGCCCGTGGGCGTGCTCCGGATGCAGCAGCCCGCCGACGCTGAGCGTGCACGAGAGGGCCGCGGGTACCGGAGGACCCGCTCGCGGGCCCCCAGCGAAGGGGATGACGCCTCAGGTCGGAGGAGTCAGCCCAACGTGACACGCGTCGCGAGCTCACTCGGTCCATTTTCTCCGCATTTACAGAAATTCACGACGGAAGGAGTACCATGAATTCTGCCGTTTTGCAATTACATCACTGCCACTCGCTGCCACTGTTGACTGATGTAAACATCGACATCTGGAACATTCAACTCGGTCGGTCTCCAATAGCTCATGTGATGAAAGATTTTTTTTGTAGTCGCAATTCGCGTTTACTCCAACTCGCAACAGTTTGTAAGTGGGAAAGAGTATAAAGAGTTTTATCAAATTGCTTTATTTTTTCCAGTGATCAGTGAATCTCTCCAGTGGGGTCTCTCCAAAGAAATCCGGTTTATGGCAAATATAAACTTTTGGAGAAAAATACATTTAAAGTTTAGTATTTTTAATACTTGAAATTTATGAAACAGACTTTAATCCAAAAAAAACTCGTAACATCAAATGTGTCGTATTTGGTTTTATATTTGTTTGACAATAAATTTAAGGAGAGCTTAATTTTTTTATTTCTATTCTCTTTTAAAATAAAAAGAAGAATAAATAATATAAAATAATATAAATAATATAAAATCGCCTTCTTTAAAGCCCGATTTCTTCCTCAATTTTAAAAATAGCGATCTCGGACTAGTTTTAGCGAGAAATAAATGATTTGTAGATATTAGAACTGTCAAAATCTACAAGTCCAAAAATTTATAAGCTAGGTCAGAGATCACAAATATATATCTTTCAATAAAGTGTACAAGCAAAACAATTGAAATTTAACATTGCGTCGATTAATATTCCGTCATCGTTTATCAAAATAGCGATCACCATATTACTCGCTTACCTGGATAAAAATTACTCATTTTAGCAAAATAATTCCTTCTTATTTTTTATAATTATAAAATACTCAGCAAATCGATAATAATCTAACTAGAAATTTTATTTATTTAATATAATAAAAATTTCATAATTAAGAAAAAACAGAGGATTTTATCCCTTTTTCAGACAGTTTCCTCTGAGAGATTTTTCCCTGGATAAAATTATCCGACGTACGACGCCATAAATATATACTGCGGTGGAAAATAAAGAAGGCCAACCGGAAAAAACCAAAAACGAAATATAAATTATATTCTCAAAATGCGCGGAAGGTTTCACGCGTTGTCCCTCGACGAAGTTGTAAACGCGCACAGTGTTCTCCATCACGCACTGCAGCGCGTATATGTCGGTTTACATATCGAGTTATTGCAGTATGTACTCGCGTCGTAGTTATCGGGGAATGCATACAATGTGTGCGCGTGCATATAATGCGGCAGCAACATAGTGCCATGTGGCATCAATCATAGGATTTCCTGCAGGTGAAAGGCCAGTCAGTTCCCTTTGCGCGAATTCACACCCCCTTGCCCTTCTCCACCCCCCCCCTGCCCCTCTCTCCTGCCTCCTTCTCGCCCCTCTCTCTCTCTGTTTCACGTTCGTCTCTCGCCCATTGTTTTCTAGATTCGACTATCCCTATCAAAATTCGGCAGGCTTCGAGTCTTGGAAAAAAAAGACGGAAATGAAAAACGATATAACGAAAATGGACAAGAAAGAAAGATTGAATTTTTATTCAGATATTTTCATATGCAGTTTGCACATTTGCGGGAAATAAAAATTTTTGAGTAGGAAAACATTTGCAGAATTTAATAAATATACAAATATCACAGAAGTAAAGTTAAATTTTATCGTTTAATTTCAAATAAAGGAGATAATTTTCTAAGCCGCTAGCAATTCCATTTAAACGATCAGTATAATTGTTATTGCATTGTGCGTCATTTATATAAAAAATGGAATAAAAAATGCGAGCGAAGTGTGAACGTTTGTGCTAACTTTACGTGGAATATAACATTACTTCGATTGCACGCACGAAACGTGTAATATTTCAGCATCAAAAAATATGATATTGCGTTATTAACGTCGCTTTGACTATTCTGCCAAGTTTTTTCATTTCAGAATTCCACGAGCGATTTAACTCTTTCCTCCTTAGCGCAGCGATACTGAAACAGCAGTAAAGGCCAGTTTTTCCCCTTAATTAGTAGTTAATATTAACCGTAGGTGTAACACGTGGGCGACAGTTAATGATGTACAGTGCGTCAGTGGATAAAATGTAAAATATAGAAGAAACAAGGATATATCATCGCGCGCTGAAAAATATGACAAAGGAGTGGCTTTTATTTGAAGTTATTCAACGCAAAAATATCACAATTACACAGTTTTATACACAGAGTTGTCCGAGTAGAAAATAGTGAAAGTCATAATATTTCTTTTAGATATCTATTGCAGTTTTTTTTTTAACAGATCCCATGTACGTTACGCTTTCTATGTGCATGTGGCAGAAAATGAAGGTGTGTCGTCTTTAAAGAGCGGAGCACGAAACCTACAACAGTTATATTTCGCAATTTCGTAACGCGCTTCTATGCGAGATAATTATATACAAACTGCTGCGAATAAAAAGGTTTACGTACGTTTACACGTACAAAAACGTAGGAACGTATTAAATTCTTCATGTGTACATATATAATTCATTGTGCGTCACGCGTTCGTGAGGGGGAATTAAATTTTACGGAAATGTGCGTACGATCCCGGAATTAAGATACTTCACACGGTGTGCGAGCTTCACATTATTCCGCGGAATATTTGCATTGTTTAAACATACGCGGTGAATTCGCTCATGTATTATTTAGCTCGTAAACAGATATTGGACTGGGCAACATGTATAAAAGATCTCTTCACGTCCATTCAAGAGATCAAAATTCGCTTTTTACTTTGTAGGTCATGATATAACTATACAAGAATATCGGCTGTCTAATACAACGGATTGGGAGTGATCCTTTGATCATTGAATGTGAGTCAATATAATTCGTCAATGATTCGAATGATATAAACCATTGTTCAGTATCTATTATACTAGTACTCTATATCAAGAGAAAATAAGATAAGATAAATCTCAAATAAATAGATATTTTATCTCCGATAAAGAGAGATCAGAGAATCATTAAATCGTTAAAAAGTCATTATAAATTTTCAACGTATGTATTGCTTTTGAATAATGAAAACTGTTATTAACACTTTTTTATTAACATTTTATTATGCTTCTTTTTATTAATATTTCATTATGCGATATAAATCTAACAAAATAAAAAATAAAAAATAAATCCAAGGGCTTTCTAGTCGCGTCCGGAGGGAACTAATCGCAAGTAAAAAAAAAAGATCTTAAACTGATGGCAGCACATTCTTGACAGTCATCAGCAACCAATAATTAGCATGGCAACAAACTGACTCCCTCTGTCGACTTCAGTGGCTTTACCGATAGAGGCGGTAAAGATCAAACATGGCAAAAGATGAAAGGCGGCACGAGGATATTTACAAGTTTCGCAGCAACTCCGTATAAATGACGACATCTAGATCCACTTGCGCCGCTAGGAATTATTGTTAAATTATCGGGAAACTCGAAAAAATTCAAGGAGACTTTTTTTCATTAAAGAACATAAAGGAATTCTAATCAATAATTAAGAAAATTGTAATTTTATTTTTCATTAGAAGTAAAATTATTTTGTTTTTCTTAGAATTTCGGAATTGCGAGTTAATTTAGTAGATTTACCGCAAAAAAACTTATTTATAAAAATCAAGGGTTACATCCATTTTTTACAAGAATTCAAGAAAGCTAAGTGAACATTATCGCGACGTTCTTCAACTAAATAATTATGCATTTTCTTATTGTCATTTTATTTTACAACGTATCTACGTACCAATGTACAATGTCTCTAGAATCGATACGTCGCACGTATCGATATGCGATTTGAGTATCGTTCAACGTTTGCCTACCTCCATGGCATTGCGGTACACTTACGAGATATTGCATTTGACACATCGCCACCGATATCGATACCAATTCGACTGTCGTCCCTAGGTCCAAGTGACAACGGGAGCGTTGATAGCATTTGGTAGGGACCGCCGTGAATGGGCGGCCAGAGTGCAACATGGCGGATTGTGAATCGGAGGTGCACCGCTTGCCAGCCGCAAACCAGGACGGCAGTGCGAGAAACGTAGCGGCGGCCGTGACAATGGTGAACAACAACGCGCGCGTGCCGCAGCATCCACCGGCCGCCGGACCGGACAAGGATCCGGTCGGCCAGGGGCCGCGGTGCGTAACGATCTACAAGACGGAGACGGGTTTCGGGTTCAACGTACGCGGTCAGGTCAGCGAGGGTGGACAACTGCGGAGCATCAACGGCGAGCTGTACGCGCCTCTGCAGCACGTCAGCGCGGTGCTACCACGCGGTGCCGCCGAGAAGGCCGGCGTTCGCAAGGGCGACCGTATCCTGGAAGTGTGAGTAGAGGGAACCGTTCCGTTTCCTTCCTCCCGCGTTTCTCGATTCGCGCTCGACAATTCGGTAAATCATCGGTAGCGCACAATCGCCGAAATCCGGCAGGCGAGAACTCGACGAAAAACGCAACTTACGCTCCTACGTAATACGGCGCTTCGATTGCGCCGAACTTTATGCCCCGAAAATTCGAACTGGAACAGCTCACAATTGGAGCACGAAGAATCGGACACGAGATGCGACCACGCGGTGGCAAGTTTCAGATTTCTCGAATTGAGACGTGATGTTGAATACATCTATGTGCGAATATTAAGAATTTGAGAATTCTACAGGCTACAACCCAAACATTTATAGAACATGTAGCTAAAGACGTGTGGTTTGTCATGTTCTGATACTCTAAAATCAAATCGATATTTGATATCCACGGTACACCATGGATTATTATAAATTACTGAAGATTCGAGTATTATTTTTGATAACTAATATTTAACTTCAGTTTTGCTCTTATCTGCATGACACGTGTCATATTTATATTCATTGTCACATAGAATTGATAATAAACAGGCATTACGCGCATTAGGAATATGATACATTTTTCTTCGCAAAAAGAGAAACATAAATTTAAAACATAAATTTTTTTTATACCGATGCAAATGTTTAGACTCAATTCCTAGATCTAATGCTTCTATAATTTATTATAACGTATAACTTTTATTTCGTTTATTAAAAGAAAATGCCATTAATTTCATTTGTGATCATAGTTATCAACTGCATAATTTTAAAAAAGAAAGCAAAATTACAGGAAATTTAAACAAAATTTAATGGGATTTTTTAATGTCCGGTCTAATTTATAAAATTTAATAATTTAATACTCAATAATAACAATCTAAATTGTAATTAAAAAAAAAACTTAGATTTAAAAACATCAAAATCACATAACACAACACAGATTTGTAAACAATAATTTTATCGTCTACAACATTGTGCGTTGTCAACATTTTCTCAGAAAATCGTAATAATATTTACACGATTTCACATGTTGTTCCTTTAAGAATATTTTGTTCACATACTCGCAATTTAGCAAACATTATAACGGAAATAGGCTTAATTCTTGTTTTTTCGCTTGGCAGTCGGAATTTCGTATTTCGTTTACATGATTACTAAAAGTTGTACATCGCATATTCAAAGATCGCGTTTATTTGAGGTATTTTATGGAGATACATTAATCGCGCGCTAACTGTATGCATATTCATCGAGGATTAGTTGCTTATGTAGGTTCGCTCGCTTGGCAACTAATCGTGCTCGGTATCGCAATGTGCCTTCTCAAGGATTATAGCTCTAGCCAACGCACGCAGAAACGAAAAAGACAGATTTAGATAATCTCCCAATGCACTTTGCTTCTGGTTAGAAATTCCGTAGAATCAATATTACGTTACGTTATTGAAAGGTATTTCAACGTCAATTATCTCCTCTTTTTTTCTTTTTAAAAACAGAAACTAGTTTGACTGTCATTGATAATTTTATCGTGCTCTGTACGAATATCAACTGTTCGAAAATTTCTCTATATCGTGGTGCTTATCGGGAAAAAGGGGGCGTCGCAGATAGAAATTATGTATTGCGCCTAATTTTTAGAGACGAGATAACCATTAGAGAAAACTCTAATCACGATGGCGCTAATTCACGCTGGCGCAGGTCCGCGAAAACATGTACGCTTCGCAAATTCTGATGTAAGAACGATAAAAAAAAACCTGTGCACGATGCATGACACGTTCAATCTATTTGACATCTCGTTTGCGAAGCTTAACAAACGCGACAGTTGCAAAATCCATCATACCCGCGAGCTTCAGACCGGTTTCCATCGTTCGCTGCTTTAGCAATTACTTCAATAAATATCTCGATATTCGTTAATCGGTTAGTTATTATCAGTGAACTAATCCTAGAGGAGGAGAATGTGCAAGATATATTTTCGAGTTTTTCATCTAATTTCATCTATCTTGGCTTAATCCGACAAATAACAAATAAGCTTCAAGCTTATTTCCCTTCGTTTCGCCAGTTCGCTTCAACGTTGGAAAGACTGTGATATTTAATTATGACAAGCGTAACGAGCGCCTGCGAACATCTTTAGTGTTGTGAATTAACTGTTAGTTAATCGACTGTCTAAACTCGCTAGATACATTTGCAATTTCCATCGGCGGAGTCGTTAGCGCTATTGGATTTGCATACCCGATCATTAGCCACCCTGTGCGCGCGGTAACTGTGTTCTCACGAGCTGTTTAATTAAAAGCTAATTTGCTTGAAACATTACACCGCTTTGTCCCGGTTGAACCTATTTGCATGGAGAATTTTATTTGATGATATACACATATCACATTCGCATTACACATAGATTCAATCGTTACGATATTACACGTAAACGCAAAAATAAAATCGTGAATTGAATTGACACATCTTATCGATCTTGAGAAATATCCATTTGTTTTAGGTATGACGCAAATCACTTCTGACGTTTAGTCAGATTAAATAAAAGATTGCGTACACCATACAATGTCTTCATTTCGATAACAGTAAGAAATCGAGGAAAAAAAGATAACGATACTACCGAGTGGCTGACTATAATATAATACTACTACTACTATTACTATCGGCATATTGTGAACGTCTCACAATAGTCACATCGATAAGCCGTTCGTTTACTTGTCACTGCCTGTTTCCGAGCGTCGAAAAACGACGACGACGTAGAGTCTGTTTGCGACCCTCGCAGGTCCAAGGTTCCCATAAACTCCGCGAGGTTCAAGGACACTACAGCGTGAGAGACCCGTCGACTTCAGCAACATAGTTTCGCGTGCAATTTCTCGTTTCAAGATTGAAAGGAAATTTCTGCGGTTCTCGACGGGACGACAAACGTCTGTTGATGTCCAAAGGAGAACAAATTGAAATGTCGAAACCACCCAACTCCATCTCTTCCTTCTCGAGTATTCTTCTCTCGATGTACGCGGTTGTGTGAAACTAATCGAAACTCTCTTGCTTTCACTTGGCTAATTTTGTGGTTTTTTTTTACCGTTTACACTTCACCTAGATTTTTAACTATTATTCGTTCCTGAAACGATTTATAAAATGACACGTTTGGAGCTTTGACATGATAAGCGTAATGGCCCATTTATCTTTATATATCTTTGTATTCCGGCTATTTCCGGCTAACTAGCACTTCCCTAACTATCGCTTACGTAAAAATTTTAATCACGTAAGCTTCCTTCTATTATTCTATTATATACACTCTACATGTGACTTCTTTCCTTACATTATATTCTTATGTTAATAGCTTTAAGAGGTTTACTCCTCATATGGTTTCCACGAAGTTATTTCACGAGATTATATTATCTTACAGTTTCGCGAAATCATATTTTTTTTTTTATCATCGTCGAGGACATCCTACTCGGCGATGGAAAACAACAATCTCAATCAGAAGTAATAAATTGAACAATAGATAAATCAGATAGCTCAGATCGCTGGACTCGAAGATTTGATGATGGACTCGGGTTTTAACGAGCGGCGATAAGTGAATATTACATAAAAGGAGCCGCTTCCATCGCACGCATCCGATAAAACGAGCAGTCATTCACTCAGAATTGCGTCAATCATTAGGCGCCTATTAGGAGCCCCATTAACGTAGGCGCGAAACATTAGGCGAGCGTCCTCGGTACGCTTTGTTTATCTCGCTTAAGTTGCAATTAGCGGGCCCGGCTGTGCCTCTCGTCAGTGTCATCAGTTTCGGATAGCAGCATCGGTCACGGCGCATTTGTAATCCGGTCTCGCGCGGCCGCGGAGAAAGGAAGCGATGCGCGCCGCGCATCGCCAGATACGCAAACAGATACGCGCTCGAAGAGACTAAATAAGTATTCGCGTGCGTCCATGTGCCCACACACTCGCCCACCGAAGCGCATTATCTTCTCTCGGCAGATTAACGTACGCATAGTGTCGTTATTGACCGATCTAATTTTATCTTCGGCTAAATACGAAAATATCGTACCTTTCGCTGCCGTATTCGGGCGTTTTAATTACGCGTGCTGCCGAAAGGGAGAATATGTATATGTATTTGGCAGGTGCCAGCGTCGGCGTTTGAAATTGACGCCGATTGCCGGTGCTTTCACGTAATTCCGACCTCAGCGTTCAGTCGCGTCGGCCACTCACACGCGCTTAGCGCGCGACGCTTTCGCGTCAATCAGACTGAAGAGAAAATTTCTCTCTCCCCTGATGATATATAATATATTATTAGTATTAAATTATATGCGAGTATACGCGATGGACGTTGGAATTTTTGTCCGTTATAAAATTTCACTAAATCAGTCAATCAGTCATATGTGCGTAAAAGAGTGATAAGCGGAGTGATCGGCGATTGCAAGCCTGTCCAGAAGACAGATAACGTCTTACATCGGGCCACTGGGTACACGCGATAGCGAAAACGTATAAAGTGCGCGACGCGCCTTTCGTCGCACGCAGATGTGGAAATCCGTGGCGGTGATATTCATCGACCTCCGGGGAGAGCCGTGCCTCCGCGCGTCAACCAATCGCGACAGTCCTTTCACCGGTCGGAATTCGAAACTCGTGCTAAAAAGGCCGATTACCGGTATCCTATTCCCTTTCGAACTGGCTCGAGTGCCACCGACAACGTGCGCGAGCGAGATTGGCGAGACGGATCGCGACCTCGTCGAAGGCGATCCGCCTGTTGCTGCTTTCGACGCCGTTAGGATCCGCCGAGGACCGGATGTGTGCCGTGTGAAAATCGTGAAAATCCCCGCCTAATCCGCCGTTTAATTTTCCCCGCGGCGATCGATCGCGTGATTCGCGATTGTAGCTTGTCGCGATTAGCTCGCTATCGCGCCGATAAAAATAACACGTGAAATATGTTGACGTGTTACATGACCGCTTTACAATGCGAGTGGATCGAGAATCGCAGACGGTGGAATACCGTCGGTGCGTCGCATTCGCAATTAAGGTCGGTTGCAGCTACGCGAAGTTAATCGCGAGTATTACGGCGTATCGTATGTGACGAGAGATGTGTCACGAGAGAAGGCAATAACCGTAACACGTCGTCTCTGTTTGCAGGAACAATGTGAACGTCGAGGGTGCCACTCACAAGCAGGTGGTAGATCTGATAAAATCGGGTGGTGATGTCCTCACTCTGACCGTCATCTCCGTGACACCGCAGGAAGCGGAGAGGCTGGAGCCCTGCGAGGACCTGAGGTAAGCATGATACCTGAGTGTCGCGCAATTTTCGGCGCAGAAGAAAAAATATCATGATCTATAAAGCAACTTGGAGTACCTTTCAACGATATCGATATCGCGATTATCTCCACCGATAAGACGCTTGAAATAATCAAGCAACCTTGAGGGTTCTAATGATATCGCGGTCTATCTAGATTGATTGAATTAAAGCTCGCATGCGTATATACACATACATATACAAACATTAAGCGCGTTATATTTTTTGTTTAGCTACTCGTCGGTCGACTACAGCGAAAAGCGATCTCTGCCCATCAGCGTGCCGGATTATCACGTCCGCGAGAGGAAACACGAGCGTTACGTAGTCTTCAACGTCCACATGGCCGGCAGGCACTTGTGCTCGCGTCGATATCGAGAATTCGCGGCGTTGCATATGGCGCTGAAGAAGGAGTTCATAGGCTTCAATTTCCCGAAGCTACCAGGAAAATGGCCATTCCAGTAATGTCTTCACGCTTAATTTCGCATACGACGGCATAAATCGCGGCGCGTTCAGCCGCGGAATGAATGGGACCATTGAGTATCCTGAAACGGATCTCATAACGTTTCCTCGCATATTTCTTCTCTCGCAGTCAAAATGAGATACATCTCACATCTCGCGAATGAAAACAACATTTATTTGCTCACGTTGCAGATTGAGCGAGCAGCAACTCGACGCGAGAAGACGCGGTCTGGAGCAGTATTTGGAGAAAGTTTGTGCGGTGCGCGTAATAGCGGAGAGCGACGCCATGCAGGAATTTTTGACCGACCGACTGGAGGAGGACGGTGATCAGGGCCCGGCGGTTGATCTCAAGGTTCTGCTACCTGATCGTGAAGTTGTCACTGTCACCGTTCCCAAGGCGGCGTCGGTGAAAGATGTCTATGATGCGGTTTGCTGCCGAGTCGGCTTGGATGCGGAAACCGCCAAGTATTTTTACCTGTTCGAGATCGTCGAGTACAATTTCGGTATATTCCAAAATTATCTTACGTCTCATTTAAATTCTTTCGAATAAATTCATCGGTCCATGCAATTTAATATGACCATTGCAATTTAATATGACCATTGTATTGCAGAGAGGAAGCTGCAACCTCACGAGCACCCGCATACTTTGTACATTCAGAATTACTCGACCGCCAGCGCGACGTGTCTGGCAATAAGAAGGTGGCTTTTTAATATAAATAGACCGTTGAGCGAGCAGGCATTGACTTGGATATTCTGGCAAACGATTGACGAGGTGAACAGAGGTCACATCACCGCGGGAGAACGATTGTACCAGTTGAAGGCTCTGCAGGACGCGTCGAGAAAGCACGAGGTTCGTGTCGAATCAAGGAAATCTTGCGGACCTCTTACGAATCTTCGATCAGGCTTACGCACAATTTTTTGATTTGTGCAGTATTTGAAATTGGCGAGGGAACTCAGCGGATACGGCGACATCGTGTTCCCACATTGCGCGTGCGACTCGAGGAAGGAGGGCCATGTGATACCGGCGGTGGGCATGGCGGCCTTCAAATTGCATGCCGCGAAGGAGGATGGCACCCTGGAGTCACAGGTAGTCGAGTTCCAATGGAACACTATCGCTCGGTGGGAAGTGGACGAGGACGGGATGGCGTTCTGCTTCCAATACACACGCCAGGACAATCGTCCTCCTCGTTGGCTCAAGGTTTTTACTCCTTACGTGAGTATCCGCTCTTTTCGCAATTTTTTGACGACTCGACTCGTAACTCATTTATTTATTTATTCTTGTGTTATTGCGTTTGTAGTATACATTCCTCTCGGACTGTTTCGATCGAATAGCCGAGGAAGCGAAGTGGGACGATCCAGGAGAATGACGTAACGTACGACGTTAAGAGGTATCCTTATAACGTTGAAGATCCTTTCACGGGATATCTCGCACTCATCTCTTTATAGTCGAAATTTTTTTTTTTTTTACTTAGGATTGCGACAGTCTTTAGAAACGGTATCGAGTTAGCATAGCACTCGTAGCATATCAAATTTTTCCATCTGTCCAGCTTCGCCGAACGTTGCGTTTGAAATATTACCAATGTCTACGCACTGAGAGTGTTTGCCCACACTATTATCATTGGAAGAATCAAACGCGTGTTTCGAACGTAGTACATCCCGATGAAGCAGATACTTTTATCCGAGAGATCGCCGATAATCTGTTCCAAAAACAGGAATGATTTAAAAATTTACACTTGGTTTTACATGCCACGTGCCGTTTGTCCATGACCTGGTGAGAGGACTTTGGCGTCCAGTTCAGCGCGTGTAAGAAAATAAATTTGATTTTTACGCGCCGATATAGCTGGAGCCATCATTTTGATGAAACACGTGCCGTGTCTTCTTTCGTTACGACGAACAAAATGCGGCACACGCGATGGCATACAGGAGAATTACGTTAATGTACAGATACGTAGACTATTATTACAGAGATACGGAGATACGGTCGTCCGCCTAGAAATCACCTATTCTTCCGGCCTATGAACTATCATGCATACAGCACATGCGACTCGTTTACTGACGAGAGAAAATCGATCGTGTTATATAAAACGTTCCTCCTTGTTCGCCTAATAGACCCGAAACTCTCTTTCGTTGGATCCGCACGAGCGTATCGATCGAGCGTTTTAAGCGAGAGAAATAATATCCTGTGCATTTTCTAATGTGCAATATTTTATAAATCAATAATAATTTGTCAATTCGTTACGCAGGATATTTTAAAACGAGGGGCCTTTGCACATTTAGAAAGGATCTCAATAGCGTCGACAGCGCGTCCAATTTATCGCTGTGCTAGGCTTCATTTATATTTTCTGCGATTAAGGATCTGAGGAGAGGAAAGAAATCTTGGAGCTTTTTTAAAAAAAAAAAGGGAAATAGATACATATCATATTCATCGAAGATTTTATTCTAAGCAGCACGGAGTCTTGTCTTTTCCTCTTTTTAAATTATCCTGCGTAACAAACAAAGATTTCCTAACACATGAATGACTACGGCTGATCCCACGTGTCCCTTAATCGATATATAATATATATATATATATATATATATATATATATATCGATCAGTCCTCTACACATTTTGTTAATTCATTAATATGTATAGAGTATTACCGTTAATAAAAGGTAGAACAAACTGTAAATATATTAATGTTACAAATATATACTTTTTAAGGAGAAACTCCGTTGTATGTATGTGTGTATGTATATGCGTGCGTGCGTTTTGATAAGACCGATATCATGGGATTACTCGATCGCAAGATCACTAACTGTGGGTTCTCGCGTTGCGAAGTGGCGATTCGTTTATTCACGCGAGAAATTGTGCGTAAATCACGAGCCGTGAATCACGAGCCTGCCGAGGATTGTAATAAGAGTCGGGGACTATTTTTAAATCGGCGCTCTCGATTGAGAAACTTTATCTCGGGCTACTCCCCTTCAGTGAATTTACAAAGATACGATGAAAAATGCGGCGTTAATGCTCATCTCTCGATTATGTAAACACATATGGGACGTAGCGAAGGAGGAAGTGACGTGAAAGAAAAACTCGGAACAATAATGTAATAAGGTCACGTGGTAATGATTTCCTCTATTACCTTGTACGAAGGGAATAATACTCATAAATAATGTTAACAGAGATAACGATAATAACAGCAAGTAAGAAACTTATACGGTTAATGTTAGCACTACTCTACGCGTACGACGTGTTGCGGAATTTTGCAGATGGCCGTAATACGTTTTGGCATTAGATATCCACGGTAGAAAGCGAATATTTGGAGCGAGTTCTCTCATGCACGTTATGCTCCTTTGATTTGACGATTTTGCGTTTCCTCTCTTTCTTTTTTGATTTCTTTTCACCTTACGTCTCTTACGTACGCATTCTGCCTTCTCGCAGTGCTTAAACTCCACTCGTTCTAAACATGTCGCTTACTTAACTTCGAGCAGTTTCAGCAGATAATAAATAGAAAGATAGATATATAATTATCGTTAACGTTTTTAAACTTTATCTATGGAGTGTCGAGTGTGAATGCGATGAATGAAAAATACGTATGGAGATATGAGATTCGTGAGAGAAAAATATAAACAAATAAATATATATATATATATATATATATATATGCTCATGAGAGAGCATAGTTACGATACTGTTAATAGTAATAGAAATATAGAACATAATATAGAGCGTAATTATAACCGAACGCGCGAATATCCGAGTGAATATACGATCGATATACGATGTGATATATTCGCGCGTGCACCTAGATATGCGATCGAGCGAACAAAATAGTTACAATAATGGTTTCTATTGTTTTGTCGATAAATAACGAGAGGAAGGGAGGAAGAGATAGGGAATTTCGCAAGGGAACTGTGCAAAGTGAGATTTATGAATTGTTAGCTAGCAATACGTGCATCCGAAAATTATTATTATTGGGAATAGATAAACCGAACGAATCTTTGGGTGATCTCTTATTTATACTTACTTTGGATCCACGGGCGAGAAAATTAACAATGCAATTTTGTTAAATAATGCATCTAATGATAGCAGCTTATATTCTTTTTTATACGCTCTAATCTGTCTAATTAGCCGATATTACCGAGATTGCATGAAAAACTCTAAGGTATTATTGGTTATTATATTACCGGCAGCAAAAAGATTCTTTCGAAATACATTTCGAAATCTTTTATGACACACACTATCTCATTGATCAGTAAAATAATCGAATACGTAAATAATTTTTGAATCAGAAAAAGAAAATCTGTGGTATTGGAGCAGCCACGTATTTGCAGTATGGCAATAAAATTTAGATAAAGAAAACTGCGTGTTAATTGGGTAGAGTTAATTGATATTTTTTCGAGAGAAAATGCTGGATGATCGCAAAGATACGTCCAAGAGATTTTTGATATGAAAGATCTGAAAATAATTGGATTAATGATATTTTGTTTAATGTGATTTTTGTAAAATTATATTTATTTTACAATATTTTTATTATATAATTCGGTCATTATTTTATGGCAATTTTAGTGTTATAAATTGAATGAATGTGTTAAAAATTGTCTTTCATTTTGAAAAGCTGTTTGATACAAGAATTTGTTTATTTTGTATTTGTTTTGCGGAGTGTGTCTCACTAGGAAATTATATTTATTTAATTATTTGCTATCTCGTTGATTAGCATATTAACGAGCCTGTCAAACACAGAGTGACGAATTAGATAGTATAATTTAATTATTGTTATTACAAGACCATATCATTACAGTTAACTCTTTAGGCGTTAATTAAAATATTCTGTATAATCATAGTACGTAAATAACAAATGCTCCAATTTATCGTATAACATCAGTTCGCGAAACTTTTGCTGTAAAACTAGTATTTCGAATTAGCGAGAGAGGTATTCGATTTCTTTATGAGCCATCTTATTGAGAAGCGTAAAATAAAAACAGAAGAAATAGACCTCGTGTTTGTGTCTTTTTTAATTAACTATCCTGCCTGTTATTATAATTATGCATCCTATCGTAGATAAAATAATCCGATAGATGCAATCTGTGTACAATTGTTATTGCGTAACGCGAGCAATTTGAAATGTATCCGATGACGTAAAGCACACTAGCAAAGAAGATAAAATATCAAGATAAAATAATACGGTTACTTTCCCAGCACTGTACATACATCACTGTACATATATCATATTTTATATTCTACGATAAATGAGGATTCCAGTAGAATCTTGATGAAAATTTTCATTGCAAAATAGAAGATTCTAAATCAAGTTGTGCGTCTCTTTTCTCGATTGGCTCTTGCCAGACGCAAAGTTTAACAATCTCGAGTCCCGAGTAAATTGACAATAGGTTTACACCTGAAAAACACCGAATCACGAATGCCACACACGGGGGAGTTAAAGGTTTCGCGTTGGAAATATTCCAGCGGAATGCGGTCATGGTGTCCAGCGGAGAAGAATAACGCACATGGTATTACCTATTAATAATTATTAGTACTATCTCCGGATTAAACCCCGGGACGTAAACCATGTAAGCGCAAACAAAACTCGAGGCATCGTATATTCGCGGATACGCGCGAGATTACCGCGCGAGTCTACAAAGTAGAGATACACATTCTACGTAATGTACCTTTATAACCGTGTATGCAAGGTGTATGCAAGCTCGCGTGTGTACGCAATACTCGTATACGCGATACCGATACATACAAAGCTGTCTAAGAAGATATCGCTAAGTGGCCACCGATATACGGAACGACAGATCAGTTTAAGACCACCTGTCCCGGAAGGTGGAACTCCTTTCGCGGCGAGATCGTTATCGGCAATCGCTCGGATTTGGTTGACATTGTCAGTTTGATGCTGAGAACAACTGAAAGAACAACTGTCTACGGTGTCTGATGAAGAAAATGGATCGTGTTAAAAGAAAGAAAAAAAAGACGGGTGAAAAGGTAGCTGTTTAAATCGAATCGTTTATGTAATTAGTGCCCGCCTGTCGAAAATCAAATTATTATTATTAAATATTAAAATCCAAATTGCCTCTTTATCGGGATGTTAAAATGTTACAAATTTTTATTATTTTATAGTATAAAATTTTATTTGAAAAAATAATTTTATTTTTTTCTCTTTGTCTCCGACGTTGTGACAATACACATATAATTATATTTTATATAATTAGTTTAACTTTCTTGACCCTTTTCTTCAATAAAATCAAATTTTAATTATTATTTTGATTTGCGTTTGCCATTACGATAATTTTTTTATTTCTCTGCGACAAATCTTTTCCTTATATTGAATACAACAATTAACAATTTGACTATAGAATTTTATAAAATTTATAATATTGTAATGTATTTTAAAGATAATACGATACTTGCGATTTAGATTATTATTTTAACAAACGCAAGATGCTTGCAAAAGATTAAAATTTTTGTTGATTGGGAAGTTCTTATCTGTGACGTTTGTCAAGATAACAGCAAAAGAAAAATTGACAATCATAATCGACAGTCACGTTAAGTTACATTGATGTTCTAGTTAATATTAAGTTACAAATCTAATTATTACAGCTCAAAGAAACAGTTTAATTATATAAAACCACATAATAACTATTTGATTACAACTCTAAAATGGACAGCTTAATTGATTCACATCTATGATTGACTATTCACATCTATATAAAAATGTCATAATATGCCTTATTTGTTTATTAAACATTTACTGTGTTATAATTTATTTAGCTTTATTTATAACATTCACTCCGTTATAAAGATAGCTGTAGTAACAAAAATTTTATAATAAATTACTTATTAAATCATCGTTTATTCCGAATAATGAACTTAATGTCAACTTAAATTCCTTTCTTATTCAAGAGAATATTTTTCTACGTTTACTGTTAAAGTCTTTTCTATGTTTACTGTTATTATTTTTTTTTGTCATAAAGTGAAATACAAAACGAGAATAACTTAACAAATGATCCATCATATAATGATAAGAACTGCATCGTTTGCGAAATGTTCCATTGTTATCTGATCATTCGCTGACCTAAATCCTTAAGAAATCTCGCGATTCTTCGAACACAATTCCAATCTTTTACTGAGATCATCGACGTAGTCGTTTCATCACACTTTTAATGTATTAAAATAACAAAGAAAATGCTCGTGTATCTGATTGAAAACTTAAACAATTACTAAAAATGTATTACATATTGTGAAATACACTATTGTTTCGCATTTGCCTTGAGATAACAGTAGTTCTAACAGTTGTTTTAAACATTTGCTTGGAAAAAAAACAACAGTTTTACGGAAATGAAACTCGAAGCGAATCGCGATAATTCGAATGTGCATGGGATTTACATCAAAATAGACCAACGCAGCAGAGACTTTTTCTATTCCGTAACGCTTGATGAATAATATTTCATGCCTTAACCAACTCTTTTTATTAGTCGTGACATAACAATCATATAAACAATCGCTCGTTATGGATTAACGAGCATCATTACGTAATGAAGCTAGCAAAAACAAATCGAACTGTCAAACTGTTCCACGTGATTTATCTGTCTAGTTCGACAAATGCCGACTAAAGGCGCTACTAAACTTGTTTGAGGAGTTAAAATTACGTTCCCGGCGAATGATTCACGTTTAGTAGACCGAAAGACCGATATGCTATTACAGTATTATTGAGCTAAAATGAACACGTGCTATCGTGGAATTTCATTATAAATAATTCATGTAATACATGATGTTTTGGAAGAATTTCTCATTTGCACAAATTTATAGCTTCATTTGACAAAAATTCTTTCCCCCTTAACACATTTTCTACCAAATCGCCAAAATTGCAGTTATCTCAGATAATTCTCAGAATTTCTTTTTTTCGTAATGCAGATTGGAAAATTTTCGAATTTCTCACATTGGCGTATCTTTCTCACGAGTATGCTTTTATGGCCGAGAGGCAGCCTCATCCTCATCGAAATCAGACGCGAAAAGAGAGAAAGAGAAAGAGAGCGCGTCCACCGCGGATAACTTTAACGAGACTTAACAAGTCCACTCACACAGACGGCTCCAGCGATCGTCATTCTCGTGTTTCGCCCCTCCCACGCTGCTCAGATCTCTGTGATCATCATCTCGTCTCTGTTTTACGACGCAGAAAGTGCTGCTATCCATCGTCGATCCTTGGGACGTGAAGGTGGCCAGTGTTGATCCGATCGGACTGGCCGAACGACGGGGCGTCTCCCTGTCCGTTTTACCCTTTAATCAGGACGAGGGTGCCAGCCACGAGTGGCCAACCTTTGGTAGGACCCTCAAGATACCGTCACCCTGGTACAAACCTGGCAGCGGCTCCTCCGATCACGTGAACTCCACCAAGCTCGAGGAATCGGCGGCGTTGATCAATCGGATAGATCCATGGTACTCACCACAAAGGTATTTTCAATTATCCATTAATATACTAAAGTTATATTAAAAAATTATCATTTTATTGAAATATATAAGATTTTATAACATGAAAATTATTTGATCAACAAAAAAATGTTTTTCTTTCTTTTTTTTAAAAAAAAATGTTTTTCTTCTATATTAAATTTTGTATAATTTTTATTATATATAAATATTTATGAATTAGGTAAATTTCTCTTAAAATAATCGTAATGTGATAAAAAGTGTAATACATTAAATAATTAATTAACATAAGTCAAAGTCACCGCGCGCGCGTTGTAATTACATATATTAATTATTTAGTAATTCTGTTTGAAGGTCGCCTGTCAATAGAACTCACGATTCGCCGAATCCGTCCAAGGAAAGATCACGAGGTAACAGACAGAGAACCGGCGAGACAAGGCACGACGACGAGGCGGGCGAGGTCGACAATGGATTAATCAAGGCTCCGCAGGAAATTAGCCGCGACGATTTCGATGATGTGGACGGTACAGCAGCGGTGCGAGTGCGTTTCGAGATCGACCGAGCGGAGTCGAAGCGAAATGGAGTGCGATGTGAGAACGGCCGAGATGTCGATGGTGCGCCGCGAGTGTTGACGAAAAGTCAAGCCGCGAACGATTTGAACAATTTGAGGCCCGAACGGCGACCGATCGCGAAGCGAAATCGCGCAGGCGGAGTGAATGTGGAAAAGAAACAGGAAGATTCTTCGCGACGAACGGACCGTGTGGAGGTCGGTGAGGACGAGAGAGATGCGAATAATGAACGAGACCAGTCTCGGATAGTCGGAGAGAAGCCAACAATTGTCAACATCGTCCAGAGCTTGGTGGAATCTAGGTAATTATATAACAATGAAAATAACTCATATCGAATGAGTAATTTTACTGTTACGACTAAACTGAAACCAAAGAAGTAAAATAAATTTTGAAGAAATTTATATCTAATTTCCTCAAAATTGCGGAATGACATTAAATAATTTTTATAAATATTTAATATTTTTTTTTAATTTAAATGAAAGGATAAGGAGAAAAATGAAAGTAATGTGAATTTTATTTTACGCCAGAACTTTGCAATATTCTTTTTTTTTTTATGTTTCGAGGTACACTCCTCAAACCGCGACAGAGAGGAGAATAAAAAGGATGCCATCATGTCGTCGTCAAGGAACTCCGAAGGAAATAGATCTAGTGGGTAAGACGGGCGGTTGTCCTGCGTTAAAGTATAAAACAAATCGACGGTATGAGAGAGAAAGAATTATCATGTCGGAATTAAAGCGAGATCTTCCGGTAGTTTAGGTTTATTAGGGTTGTTCAGGATCAGCCAGTGCGCCAACCATAATACAGGATCGGCCGGTCTCTGCTTACAACACTATAGAAAGAGAATGTTTTTGTCTTAATCAAAAAATATTAGGACAAGTAAAATTGTCTCAAAAAAAATTTTATATTTAAATAGTTAAAAATTACCAATGTTAAACCTTCGATAAGAACGGGATTAATAGTTTCCCATAAAAAATCTTCAGCCATTTCATCTTTCAGCAAGGGTTCAATTATAACTGAGAAGAAAAAAATTTTCTATTTTAGTACCGAAATAAATATTAAGAAAATTAAGTATCATAAAACACAATGAAATGTAAAGTGATTTTCTACAATCAGGAAAGAAGAAATGAATTTCTTTTTCAGCCTGTTCGCTATCGCAACTGCCGTGGATAGCATTCTTTAAGTCGTCTCCTCTACGACCATATCTTGCTCGGATGCTGTCAGGAAAATACAAACGCGCTTCGGCCACCTAAAACGATTCCAAAGTCACTCCTTAAATCAAAAGAATTGATTTTCTAAAATATTATGCGATATCCTGATATATTTTGCATATACCGTGGTCGGTCCTATGATTCTCTTCCATTCTTTTATGGCATTTTCCTTCGCTAATACAAACACTATGATGGGTCCCGATGACATATATGCCACCAGATGAGGAAAACTCAGTTCGCCGAAACGTTCTTTGTAGAATTCTGCAACCTGTTCTGGTGTCAGCTGTAGCCAACGAGTCTGACAAATTTCAAATCCTTCCGCGCATATTCGACTCTCGATTTCCTTCCTATAGACCATTGCTTCCGGCTTTATGATAGCCAATGTAAATTCAATATCCGGTTCCTCCTCAACGGCCTCCTTAATTTTGTCGGTTTCAAAACATACCGGCGACAATTTAAAATCCTCTTCTTTGCCAGAACAATTGTATTTCGTGGGATAAATGAATTTATACTATAATTATCAATGTAATTATTTGTTTGCAAAATAATCTTTATATATGCATTTTATCGCATTTCATTTATCAAAGACATTTCTGATCGATAGCTCACTAGTCTGTTTGATTTGCTGGGAAGAGAGGATCCCGTGTCTGTCGACAAAATTTCCATAGAAGTGTATGTCATTTCGCTGCTACTGGATCGCACGGAATCGATTAACATTCGATCGGAACCAATGGAAACTATATGCTCAAAAATATCTCTTCCAGGGCGATATGGCGCAGGACATTTTGTGAAAAGAGTTACAGTTTCCGATCCAATTTTTCCAGCGATCTCCTTTTGCAGACAGTCACACATTTTTCTTCGGTATACAAACTAACTTTTATAAGATTATTTTCGTCGTTATTCTACCGTATCTGTTTCCAGAAAGAAATTCAATTGAATGCAATCAGCCTAATTTTCCAATTTATCCAACATATGTCATTTACGAATGACATGATGTTTTACGAAGATTATAAAAGGTTAGATACTATCGAACTAGATCCTTGATATTTATTTGTTCTGCAATCGTCGCGATAAAAGTACCAACTTTTTTTTAATTACTCCAGTGATCTTTTTGATCTCCGATTGGCGCCGCCGCTTCAATTATCACAATGTTTTCTTACGAGGGTTTGCATTGCGATAAGTTGGCATATGGAAACACCAGCAGTTGCGTAGGTGCATTCGTTTTAGTGCGAATATTTATACAGCGATAACGACATTGTATTACACAAATTTAGATATTATACTATTTTTCATTGTATTATTTTCGCTAAATCATAGTACGTTTTCAAGTGTGTATAAATTTTTATCAAATTATTTCTCTCGATTGGCTTTCAGACTTTCCAGGCAAAGCAAGTGATAATGCCAACGTTATTGTTAATACGGCGAAACAAGAAAATAATCAAAAAATCGTCAACGAGACGAAAACGGTGAAAGTACTACCGGAAGTGACAGCGTTACGCAGCACGAATATAAGAAAAACCAGCATATCTATGCCCAGCAATCTTAACGAGATGGATGATCTTCGGATAGACAGACAAAACGTAAGTCGAATTAATTATACAGTATGTTAATAAATATAATAATATAATGCAATCAATAATTTTTATACAAAACATCTTATTTATTCATCTTTACATCTTTATTTGTCATAAATATATATCGAGGAATCTTACAAAACAGACGTCAACGAATTTTAGACACTTAAGTGTAAACTTATATAGATAGTATACCGATGATGACGAAAATATTCCTCGAGTGTTGAAAAAAAGAAAAATTACACACATATGCTCATTCGAAGTCAAACAATAGTCAAACAATAATATTTCGTGTATTTCTCACCTACTGAATAATCAACGTCAGTCTCTCTAACGACGAGAATAACATCGTATCGTATCTCTTCAATTTCGCGCGTTTGTGAAAAAGGCATTCGTTGTCACCGCTAGATTTCTGGGCGATTAGGGCGATTAGCACGCCACGATGTTTTCACTAAGGAGATAATTCGATTCCCGATCTGTATTTTCGAGTCATTCGACGAGGACGGTTAACAGTGATTGGTGACGATTTTACGCGTCTCGTGTTTATTTTTATCGAAAAAGAAAAAGAAAGAGTTTTTAAATCGTGTTACACATCGCACAAGCGAAACAAGCGTTTGCAAATGAAAATGATGAAGTAATAACCGATAAGTGGTATGGAACTGTATGAGTGGTACAGGATGGATGTCAAGGATCACACATACAGTTCGATTTATTCCTTGGAGAACGCCTTGGCTGGCGTTAAGAAACACAAACTGAACGTCATTCAGGAGGTACGATTAGAAGCAAAATGTTGAATTCTGTAATGGTGACAGATTCTTCAAAAATATTTTTAAAATTTATTATTTCTTTTTGACGATTTAAGAGAAAGAATAAATATTGTAGTAAGAGAGATATACGAGAATTCAATATTTATATCGAACACACTGAAAATATAATGTCAATCGTCTACATTTTGAAGAACCGAACGAATCCAATGTTTGTTTCTATTTTAATCATTATCTATCATAATGTTTATGCTCGTATTGGGAAAATAAGATTTCTCAGTTACGCAATGTTTCTTATTTGCTATGGCAATATTCTGCGCGTCTCTAAATAAGCAATTTTCGCAGAAATGTTCAATATAAATGATATTGTCTCGTACGGTATTATATAAGATTTTTTATTTATGATTATTTTTACGATTTTTTGCATTCTTTTCCTTTTTTCTTTACTCTTCTAAAATCTAACATTGTACATTACTTATTTAAAATACAAGAAATTTACATTTCTCAAATTTATGAAGCCTTTAAATAATATAATGTGTTAGCTATTTGATGAAAACGTGAGTTTTTGCTGAGAATAAATATTGACAATTAAACGTTGAACATTGCATTGATTATTAAAACAAAGCAATTTTCAATTAAAGTGTATATGAATACTCGTATTCAAGAAACATCGCTGCGCGATGCGATTAGCGTAACGCTAACGATTTTAAAATGAAGGAATCGTGTTCAAGTGATATTTTACTACAGAGAAACGATGAGACTACCTAAAATATTCCATTTGCTAAATTCTCCAATTGATATATGATGTGTAATAAACATTTCTGATAAGCAGCGCATTTCTGGATACAATTGTACTTAATTGTTTTCGATCAGCGTCATATCGCGATTCGTATTCAACAACATTATTACGTTTCACATATTTGCGTTCATAATTTTTTTCTTTGGAAAAAAGGAAGAGTTTAGAGAAATATCAATAATAGTGACGTATCATCAACGCCATATGGACACTTTCTCGTCGATCGTACATCAATCGTACAAAAAAAGAAAAAAAAAAACAACAATGTAAACGCAAATCGAGCATATCGAAGCGCAGCATTGCTGCTCTTAATATATCAACGATCATTATAGAGCACACAGATGAATCTTGTTGTGTGTAGTTGGCAATGATTTACAGCCTCGATCGGCGAGTTGATTTGTTTGATTGCACAGGTGCTCACACGGTTTAGGCGCGCTAATTCGCACCTGAATTCTGATATTTCAGGGTACCGCCTCGAAATTCACAAGAGAGGACAGCGATACCGGCAGCAGCGTGACTTTCAGTAACAGCGGCTCGACACCGAATGGAAGTCCCCTAGGATCCGAAACGGAAGAGGAAGCGAATGATGAGGAGCTGGCCAGGTGAGTGTTAAATTCGGCGATCGATTAAAAGACGAAAAAATAAAAAAAAAGAAAAAACAGAGATGAGTTAAGAATCAATGATTTTAAACATTCACAATTTATATTTAAATCGTATTTGAATCGAACATATGTACCATATTGTTTTCAATTTGTGAAATGACAACTGAGTTTCAAATTTTAATCAATTTTTAACGCGATCGATATTAATTGACTTTGATAAATTTCTAGTAAATACGATTTGTGAGAGACGTAATTGATAAATATTTTTCTATGAGCTTCAAATATCAAATTTTAATTTCGCGAATGATAATAACATAATACAATACATTGCGTGCTCCTTATGTTTGACATTCCAATACCGATTCGGTTAGCACCTGTATTAACCTGTTCCAACCGCCTAATAAATCTATAAATGCCGAACGCCATCGAGCTTGAAAGCGGAGGAAACAGTCTCTGTGTGGCTTATCGCGGGAGATGGATATCTCGCCTGCAATTTTCTCTCGACGATACGCGCTCTAAATGCGCAATTTGCACTGTGACACCCCACTAGACGCATACACGAGGTACTGTTTATCGTTCTCACTTGCGAGCGCGTTCCGACTGAGCAGATGAAACAAGCGTACCTATCTGACCGTTTTCACGGTCATCGTAAGCATCATCATTGTTAGGACCGACCTTCCTTCATATCGCTTCAGGGTTATCGCGCTGTAAGAGAGTTGCGGCTCCCGTAATCGCCAGTTTCGGCCAACAGTCGTCACACGATCGCATTTACAGCTTCCTCGCTTTTTCTTTTTATACGCATAACTATTCAAAATTTTCTACTATTCTAATTTTTTCATGTCAAACATGCTAGTGCAGATACGTTTGTGATTGTGTTTTCCGTGATTGAGAGATAACAAAGTTTAGAAATTAAAAAAAATGATAAAAATTATTAAAGATCGATTAAAAAATTGAATGAAAAAGCAATTTGTCAATTTATCGTTTATCAAAATATCAATTTGTTAATTTATCAATTGAAATATCTGTATTTCTACTAAGAGGGCGAGATGATTCCCAGATACGATATCGGTAGCGCTGTATCATTACAAAGGTACAACGACATGTACCGATATCTTTCAACGAAGTGCTTGAAATAAAAAAACACACTCTTTATTTCTTCAAACTTAGATAAAGAGATTTAAACTTAGATAATCTGTTATTATCTTCATATCTCCGAACTCCAGAATAGAATTCTATTTATAATTGTACATTTTAAAATATCTTGTAAAATACACTTGCATATTTTATTATATATTTATGTATATATGTATTTTGATTTTTTAATATTTCCAGCATAATAAATTATAAATGAAATTTTATTTTAAATTCCAACACAAATTAGATCATTTAAATTTATATGTAGTTATATAATAATAATGTTTTAGAGTGCCGCTGCAAGCTCCACCGCGAAGGAAGGGTAGAACCATGTCACCCTCGGTTAACGAAAAAATGGGAAATGACGCTACGGAACTTTCGGGTGTACAAAGCGCAACTTCCACAATAACCAGCGTAAACAGTATCAGCAGTCTTCTGAAGGAGAAACTACAATTATCATTACCACAGGCATTGCGTAACAGCGCAAGACGTCAAAATGCTGATTATAGGTAAAGTGATCAAAAAAATGGAAATTTGCAAAACTTAAATGACTACTAGATATTCATATTCAAAATCTGACAAAAATTATTATACATCGATTGTTATTATAACTATTTATTTAAAAACTGATAATTGTCCTTTTTTTTAATCAATTCTCCTTAGACTTAAAGCATTTGTTGGTATCTTGTTCCTTTGCATCGTTTTCCTCGTGGGATTCGCACACATTTATTACACTCAGCACGTCCTACAACGAGCTTATTTTGAGAAATTTAGGTGAGTACTTTGCCATCGTGATCGATAATAAAATGTTACATTAAAATTATTTCGCTTACATATCAGTTGCATTAGTGCAAGAAGTGATATTTCGATAGTCGCCGGCTTCGCTTGTCGTCTACTCTGGAATAACTTTCGGTCGTTTGCCTCTGCCAGGAAGCGCCTAATGGAATACATTAAGGCTCGTTTATCGCGCTGATCTCGTGCCAGTCTCAAAATGCGTATTCAATTGGTAACCCAACGTGCACGCTTAGCTTTTTAGGGGCTGCATTATCTTAGAATCGTGGGAGGAAGATCTCGGTACCGATTATCCAATATTTTATGCATCAAATTTTTCTCCGTCGTCACACACGACACATCGAGCTTGATTAATTACTTCCTATATAATTTCTGTTTTGTTGTTTTTTATAAAGATAGCAAAAAATTTTTTTGAGACAATTATTTAATCCCATCGAGTTTTCTTTTTAGATTCAATAAAAACGAGAGGGTGATGAGAGTGTACAGCAATACCGGGGCGGAGATCATCGCTGCCCGACTCGGCGAGGGTATCCCGCCGAACACAGGGGTGTATCCTTGCCTTCCTCATCATCAACGGCAGGACGCGGTCTGTCTCGAGTGGCTGCAGCAAACGCGGCTCTACCTCGCTCATACAAAGCGCGAGGGGATGCACTGCTACCACGTCACTTGGCAGAGTCTGAGTCCCTATTACAATCCCAAGGACTGCTTCGACTGGTCCTCGAAGAGAGGCCACTGGTACGGCGCCGGTCAGATTCAGAATATGGCTTATCCCCTGGAACGCGGCCGCCTAGAATTGAGTCCCTTCATCACCGGTGACGTGAGAAAGCATCCTTTCGGAAACGTGCTAAAGAGATATTTCCTCAATTCGAAGGGCGCTACGATCCTGGTGGACCTCGAGACCCCGCTCTATGTCTCCATCAATGCAAATCGTACCAACGACTTCTGTCTTCAGGCGAAACATGACGCGTTTGCCTATATTAATCACCTTACGCCGCTACCTCAGCTCAACTACACAATCTGCGCGACCGACAACATGAAAAGCTTGCACTCCTCGATGGCGGAGAAGTCTTTATGGGATGGCTTAAAGCCCGATGAACTGCACGCTGTCCATTCTCTGCTATCTGAACCGGTCTGGCAGATCTCACCCACCAACGAGGCGGCCATTTACAATTATACGGAGGACGTGATCGCATTGGGATTCCTTCGTCAAGGGCATGTTCTGCTGAGCGAGGAATGGCAACCCAGTCCGGGTGATTTTGTCCTGGACGAGGAACGATTCCCTTCTATGGAGGAAACCATCAATATCATTCATCGCAGAGGATTCAGAATAGTGTTCAGCATTCAGCCTTTTATCTCCACAGAATCTGTTAACTTCAAAGACGCAGTCGCTAACAGATTATTGATCTCCGAAAGGGGAAGCGATCCCAGAATTCCAGCATTAACAAGGTTGTTAATCACGAATTTGTAAATTTGTAATATAAATTATTGTACGCATTATATATATTACAATTCAGCTCAAAGAAAGATATTTTTAAAAGGATTCATATTTAATTTTAGATACAAGCAAAGTAACAGCGCCGGCATGCTTGACATCACGAATAATAAGACCTTACCGTGGCTGCAGACGAAACTTGAAAGTTTGATCATGAAATACCACGTAGACTCATTCTACCTCGACCTAGGCACTGCGCAGGACATGCCACATTACTACAAATGCGAGCAGCCCCTGACCAATCCCGACCATTACAAGACTATTTTTACCCGTTCGATTTTAGGCACTATACCTGTGATCGGCGTCTCCAGCGCCATTTCCAGGCCACGAGCGCCCGTTTTCGTGTCCCTGCCTCCCTTCCCGTCATCTTGGAAGGCTATCAAGACTGTCATCCCCACTGTCCTCAGTTATGGCATGATCGGGTATCCATTCATTATGCCAGGGGCAGTAGGCGGCGATGTGGCGCTTCCGATGTCAGACAACAATCCGGACAACGATTACGAGGTGGATCTACCAGACAAAGAGCTCTATATTCGCTGGCTACAGCTTTCTACCTTTTTGCCCGTAATTCGTTTCACTCATCTGCCGAGCAAGTACTCGGACGAGTCAGTCCTGGAGATCGCCAAAAGGTTGACCACCCTGCGACAGAAGACTGTTACGCCGTTACTGAAAAAATATGCGAACGAGACTCTAGATACCGGATTGCCTATCATCAGGCCGCTCTGGATGCTGGATCCTGCTGATCCAGCCTGTCACGTGGTGGTTGACGAATTTTCTGTAGGCGAGGAACTGATCGTAGCGCCGGTGCTCTATTCTGGTAGCAGGCAGAGAGAGGTCTATCTGCCGGCTGGTGTCTGGAGAGACGGTATCGATGGAAGTCTGAGAAAGGGTTCGAGATGGATTCATAACTATAGAGTGGCCGAAGACAAGATTGCGTATTTCGTCAAGATGCCGGACAATACGAGATTCTGAGGAATCCCGAGGTCACTTCCGCTGCTTTGCATTTCACGCGATGCATTACGGTATTCAACGAATCTCGAGATCGATGAATTGGTGATAAAGTGGTGATTGAGCTTGTGATTCAGCTTCGTGCGATGATGCGAGTTGCTCGTATCCACCAAATGAATCGTCACGATGTTTCTTGTGATTGATTCGTCATAGCATAACAAATATCGACTCACCTTGATCTTTCGTTAATATGCAAGATGAACTTGTTCCTCGGTGAATGTGTTGAGAAATAATCATGCATTAGCAAAATACATATCCGCCGCATTTGAATAAAGATAAAAAGTTTGCAAATGCGATATTAAGTATATCAACGATTTCAGAACTGCAATTACAATAATGAAGTATCCGACATTGTAAGAATGCAGCAAGATAATTATGTAGGGATAAATACTTAATAGCACACACAAAAGATTTACACGTTAGTCAAACGTGCTATTCAATATTCAATGATATAATGATTCAATATATCGACAAACTTTGATTACAATAAAAGTATTCAATGTTATATTTTACGAATATGAAACTATTGTCAATACCATATTACAATGCATATCGTAAAGCCATAGTGACATATGCATTGGAAGAACAAGAATTGTAGATTTAAATTATGCTGTCAATTATATTTATTTTACTTAACAATGCAGCTGTATACTTCTGCCAACCCTCTAGTTATTATTTTATTATTATTAGTAAAATTGATAGAAAAATTTTATAATACTTTCTTTTCTAAATATATTTGTTAGTGAGATAAAAAAAAATAAAAATAAGAAAGTGAATATAGTTGACGAGAATGCATTTGAACGCAGTTTTGCAGGGCGCACGGGGCTATTTATTTCTTCCTTTCTTTTATTACAAACTTACATGACATGTAAAACAAAACACGTGAGCATGCAGAAGCGAGATTCGAAACTGATGCGATTTCCGACTGATTTAACTTACGATGCTGCGGCCACGAAAAGATATATCTCGTGCGTCTCGATGTGTAGAGATCATTTTTACGTGTCTGCAACATCGAGAATTCTAAATTCAGCGGAAATCACGCCGGTCTCGATCCTTGTGCAAAAACATCTCGAACAGGCGGTTGATCTACGGTCGATCGACGAGGAGAAAATCAAGACGCGTGAGGCACACAGGCGACAAATTCTAAGGTATAGTGTATATTTATTATATTATCATTTTTATCATATAGCATAACATCGTTATTTCTATAATAATAATAATAATCATCATCATAGCACCATGAACACTCCACAGTAAGTTTTTTTTTTCTTTTTTTTTTTTCTCTTTTAATTCGTTATTCGAAAAGAACGCGACGCGCCGATGCGCTGCGACGGGTGAGAACCGCGATCGTGTAAGGAACTCGAACAACACTGAGAAAATTAGAGAACATCCGAGTGACGTTCGTAAAACATCCCGAGCATCTTCGAAACGTTTTTTTTTTTAGAGGGAAGGAGGGCGTCTCTCCGAGGATCTTTGCCAATCCCGCGTTGTCCCGAAACGCAAAGACTCGCGTTACTCTCGTTGCGCAACAACGGGACTCTCGACCGAATGATCTTCTTCCCTTACTTCTTGCGTCAGGAAACGACGATTTCTGACTAGAGCTTCTTGTAGGATATCCGAGAAAATTTCGCGGCGGAGAAAAAGCGCATTTCTTTTGATTTTGTCGACTTGTACCGTCCGGCACGTGAAATAAGAAGCAATCAGAGGGGAAAAACAACGCGAGCGAATCGGGAAACATCGAGAGCGAAGGTATCCTCCATTGCCCGATGACCGACAATTTTCCTCTCCTAATAATAATAATTATTGATTGTTCTTCGATATCGCACCGTTCTCGCACCCGTCGGGCACCGCGATTTGGGGGTTCATACAGGTGTTGAGGCTCATGTTTTTCACATCTCGCTTACTCTCTCCTACTTTCTTTCTCTCTCTCTCTCTCACTCTCTCTCTCTCTCTCTCTCTCGCGCGCTTTCTCTCTGTCTCTCTTTCTCATGCTCTCTTATACTTCCTTCTTTACGTACTCTTCGTTCATATATTATATAGATATCTATATATATATAATATATATTTTTTTTTTCTTTCCTCATATTTCCCGCTAATCTGTTTCGGTGAAAGCTCGTTCCTAATTTTTTATTTGTTCTTTTTTTTATTATTTTTATACTTTTTATTTAAATTACTCCAATAAATTCATTGTTTATTTAATCTATCCTGCGCGCGTCATCATCGATCGACAATAGCTTCTCATTTAATAGTTTATTAATTTATTTTGTTTTCGTTAAATTGAATTTCATAATTTTAACATCCTACCTAGATAACTGGTCATTATATTACTTGTCAATAAATAATACATAAATACATAGGTACACATATTTCATCATTATCATCCCTCTCCCTCTCTTTATCTTTCTTTCTCCTGTCTTCCTACTTCTTGTTTAAATATCTTCTCTCTTTTACATCAACTCGCTATCATACGTATGAAGGTATCGATAAATATAAAAAATCTCTATCCATGTATATGACAGAAAGAGAATGATGATGATGATGATGATAATGACCCTCTCTCATAAACGTAATCGTAATATCAATAATATTAATAGTAATCGCAATAATAATAATAATAATAATAATAGTAGTAGCATAATAATATCAATCGCAATGATAACAAGCATAATAATCGTTAAAAATAATCGATATGCTAATAATCGTATTTATAACAATATCGATCGTTCTCATCTCTCTCTTTTTCTCGATGTCACCTACGATGTCATACACCACTCTTTTTTACGTTTTCTTCTATTAAAAAATTCTTTCGCTCGCTCGTCCTCTTCGCCAATTGGCGACGTAAAATCTTGGTCGCGCATGACTCCGCCGAAAACAAAAGGACAATCAGTCTCTCGCGGACTTCCTTTGACAACTGATTTCCGAACGGACGCGTCTCCGCGTCCGGTAAACGCCATAAAATGATCACGAACGCGAACGAAGAATGGAGCAATAAATAAACGAATGACAGATGAGTACATGGGCGATACGTATA